GGCAGAAGACAGGCACAATCAAGGGGCAGGCTGCTTGACCTCCCCATACCACCTGCCATCCCAATGCCTGCAATCCTGCAGTGGTGGGGGGGATGAATTAAAGAAGATCCTCCAATAATTAGATTTCTATACATGGAAAATTATAACAAATTTGTCGGTTTCCCCCCCCATGTACAGCATCTAATTATTTGGGGGGGTGTCATCTTGAATTCAGGATCATCTTAGATTCAAGTAAATATGATAAGCACCCTGTTTCAAATCCTACTACAGTCTTCAGTAAAAACAGGACCCAGCTTTGACCGTACATTATAGCACCATCAGACCCATTTATTCCCAATTCACATCTTTATTACTCTACTTGATGAGATTAATACAAAACATATACTAGGAAGCCAAGAATATTTCACCCTTCTAAAAGGTAATATTTAGACAAGTCATTTTCCCTAACAACCTTATCCTTTCTTTTATTCTGTAAGCTGTATATTATAGGGCTTTTCAATTCATAAAACAAAGGTTACAAACCAGGTTACCTTGTTGAAAAATTAACAAATATCTCTAAGCCATCATATAACAGTTTAATTTAAACTTTTGAGTGCAAGTCTTCGAGACAGAAACTTATTTAGCTGCATGAAAAAAAATATATTTACTTTATTCTGCCTGTGTTTAAGCCCTCAGCTTTTAAAAAAAGGATAAATATCATTTTATCAACTTTCAAGCAGATGTGGCACATTATTAGCTCCAAGACAGAGCAGCTAGTGTTATTTCTTCATCTGCAGAGGAATAACATAATAGACATTAGTATGCATCCTTTCTATTGCTGCAGACACTTCCACAACAACTTGACTACTCACCAAACTCAACGTAAGATTTTTGGTCTATCTATTTGGTGTTGGGTGTAACATGGCTGATTAAGGAAAGACTAATTAAGCAAATAAAAATATCTTTGTTTGTAATATGTCTGTTCATTCTGGGAATTAACCTGCAATGTTGCACTGAAGCCACCCATTTGCAAATTGTAGAAGTTTGTTCATTTTATATCAAAAAGTTCGTATTTTTTAAAAGAACCTATCTAAAAACACATTACCACAATACTCTTTTTTTTTTAAACTGTATCACTATGCAAAGACATCTCAAAACATTATTTTAAAAGGTAATGATTTAATTTGGACAATTTCCAATATACTCACAAACCTGATCAAAAGAAAGAAAAGAAAGGTCTCTGCAACAGCCAAGCACATGGACTCCTTGCCAAACAATCTACTTAATGCAGAAACCTTGCTAAAGAGTGCCACTTTACCTTGCTAACGAACTTCCAAAATACAACCCTTTCAAACTCTCATGCATCATTGTCTGTAGATGCTTATCCTCAACCTTTCAAACAAACAGTCACTTAATGTATTCGTAATTAATAAAACAGGAATATTTGACTTAAAAAACAAATACACATACCAGCTAATTAGATCAACTCTGATGGCAACATTTTTATGCCAAGGTATGTTAAAATGTATAAAATGTGTAACTTTACTTCATACATCGGTTGTACATGGCTTTAAGATGCTTTTGAGAAAGACAGCTGATCAAAAAGCCGTCCCACTTTGTTATTTGCATTCAAGGTTCAGTAGTCTGTACAAGAGGTAAATGTGAACGTTTGGGAAACAGGGCACTGTGTAATCCTAAAGAATACAGTAAAGTGCTAGAAAAAAAAAGACCAAAAAGAGAAAGAGAAGCAAAAGAAATAATCTACTATGGCTGCAGCTGAGTTTATAAAATACTGCTATATTCTACTTCTAGTGCAGGGTGCAGTAACCTATGGCTCATAGGCTAAATGCTGGGGGGGGCGGGGAATGCGAAGAAGAGGGACAGGGAGAGATAAGGGGCACACTGGAAACACAGGCCAGGTTGGAAGTGGCCTGTGCCAGAGGTAAGCTCCATTGAAAATGCCCTCCCCTCCAACTGCAAAATCTAGTTGCCCCCTGTTCTAGTCTATTTTCAACCAGACTTGTTCCCTGATGATGGCACATAAGCACCTTGTCACATGGGACACTTAGTACATGTTAAATCTGTGGAATCTTACACAGTATTAAAGTTGGAATGGTTTATAAGCAGCTGCACAGTAATGTTTCCTGCCATCTCTAACATGCACAGCACACATACTCTCACTAGAGGGTCAGTAAGCAGGTATCTCAGCATGCTTTCCTTGAGTATCTTTTTCACATATTTCTGACAGCAGCCCAAAACAGCTGAGCACAGAGAAAAGTGCTGACTGGCCAACTATCTCGCTGACGAGGAGAATTCCAATCTGTCCTTGGCAAGACACAGGATCTCTAATCCCTCCTTGACTGACTGTCCTAACTGGGATTGGATCTCCAGCAGCTTCCTGGAAATGACAAGTGGCAGAATGGAGCAAATCCTTGTCCTGGCCAAGGTAATCCACAGGCACCCTATGCTGTGGCAGTGTGGGCTCCCGACCCTTGCCAGGTGCTACTTTGAGGATCTTTTGAGGCTGCCATGGGCTTCATGCTGGCCTGCTTGCAGGAGGCACTACATGATGCTTGCCAAACCATGGAAGTGTGGGCCCATTATCAGATGCCATCTCACCACTGCTGGTGGCTCCTAAGCTTAGACTGGGGAGGGTGGGGGAAGCAACTTGTGCTCAAAACCTGGAATGATGAGCAGTATGAGCAAAACTTTAGAAAGTGCTATGGGTTCATGCTGAGCTGACACCCCAGCTCCAGTGCAGTGATGGCAGGCTTCAGTATCCCATGTCCATTGAGACATATGACTAGAGTGACTTGGAAGTTGGTGCGCGCTGACAGCCTCTGATCTGCAACCAACTGGTTTGACGCTGGGTGGACAATCGTGAAACAGCCATACCCAAAGAGTGCAATGCCAAACTGGAGGTGCTGGGGCAACTCAGGGACCTACAGGTCATTACTGGATTCAAACAGATGGGCTTCTAATACTACATGCGGAGCCATCGATAGGACTCACATACCCAATATGTGCCCCCCTCGCCATGCCTCAGATTACATAAACCACAAGGGGTTCTTTTCAGTTAAAACGCCAGGCCATCATGGAGCACTGGGGGCACCTTAATAACATCAATGTTAGGTGGTTGGGCCAACTGTAACACCTATGTAAGCAGGAACTTCAGCTTCCTGCTGCATTGGGGGGGGGGGGGGGTTCTCAACACGGCTGGATTGGGGGGGGGGGGTTCTCCAGCACTCCCACCATGGATTTGATTGGGCTGATTGTTCTCCCCTTGATCACTGGGGACCCAGCCTACCTGCTGCTCCCCTGGCTCATGAAGTCATACACCAGCCAGCTGAACCCCAGGAAGGCATTCAAATCACTGGCTGACCAGCTGCCTGATGGTCATGGAGTCCACCTTTGGGCACCTAAAGGTGTGCTGGAAGTCCCTGGGGGCCCACCTTGAACTCAACCTGAGAAACTTTCCCAGCTTCACAGCCATTGTCTACATCCTCCTCAATATATGTGAGGCAAATGGTGAAGCCTTCCAGGAAATTGAGATGCCTCCAGATGGAACCAATGATGGAGGAAGGCCACAACACTTTGGACAGTGCCTAGGCTGAAGCAGCACACCTGACTGAGCATCCAGAACAGAAGTGCCAGCAGGTTGTTCTACTCAGAGAAGCCTTAGCTGACTACTGTCTGCAACACCATTCTGACAGATGGAAGGGGGATGCAGGGGACCTCTTAAGTGCTATAAACCCTTCATTTGCCGTGGTGCACCTTGAATGGTCTGTTATCTGCTCCTCCAGAACATCTCAGTTAACAACTTTTGCGCTAACCATTGGGCTTAACGCTCCCTGTTGTGTGGGATTGGGAGGGCAAGGGGCCCAGCACTGGGAGTTCACGAGGACTGTAAATGACTCAAGTTGAGGACTGGACAGGCAGCACACAAGGGACAAATTTCATAACTCTGTAAGGTTTATTTGAAGGAAAAAAGACAAGAGTTTGAATATAAAAAAGTCTTCTCACATTCAGATCTGATGTGCTTAAAACAAAAACAAAAACCACTCTTAATGGTGTGCAAACTGTGTGAAATGTACAATTGTGCCAAGCGTGTGGTGGGGCAGTTGAGTCCACACAAGTCCCTTGTCTCTAGGTCTCCCAACTGGCTGGGAGGGTGCCTGGGTGTGCCATCTAATGGAAGCTTGCCCCTTTGCTCTGGAACAGGCTGGGGGCAAATAGCATGAGGACAATACTCGTCTCATTACCAAAGTTCAGGTACTTTTTAGTGGCACTGCTCCTGCTGCTGGGATGCAGATAACTGGGAGGTGGTGGAATTTCCCATCACCCCAAGGAAGGGCCACCCCTGCTGGGGCATTTGGCATATCTACCACTCAGATTTCCACTCCCCGACTGGCATTCAGCCATGCCAGGGGGAGGTGTGCACATGGCTTGAGTGGCCAGCCTCCTGTCACTCCCACTGACCATCTGGCAACAACTGCTGGCCAGGCAAGAATAAAAGGGGACAACAGATGCCTGGTGCCTCACTGTCATGTCATGGACATACTCCTACACAGCAACAACTACTGTCCAGGAAAGACCTGCACAACTCCACAGCGGGTGGGAGGGATGGAGGGGTCTAAAGTGTCACAACCCAAGGGTGTGATTTTTGTGTGCGCGCGCGCTTCGGCACTGCTAAATTATTTCCCGCCACTCGTAGCTTTCTTTGCAGGGTGCATTTCTAGGTTGCAAAAGAGAAATGCACGGTGCAAGGAGTTCCCGCCATTCGTATACAAATTTGTGTCCCACTATTAGCCAGTTCTAAATTATTCCCACGTGGCGGC